GCCGTAAATGTTGAGGAATGCAGCCACGAGATGCCACATCTGAAGGATTCAATTTCCCTGGGATATGTCTCCAACATTCCTGCTTTCGAGGAAGTTTCCGAATCTCCTTTACTCTATTATTCACAAATACTCCCCAGTTTTTCCTCTCGTTGTATCCAGCTAAGAGCCACAGTAGCGTCTGTCCAGTAATATATCGGGACATCGACTAAGCACAGGGTTTCAACAGTATACCTTGCCAAGCGTGCACCTAGAACACAGGCTAGCAACTACCAAACGCGGAATAGTTATTTTCTTTAAGGGCGATACGCGTGATTTTGCTATGACGAAATTTCACGAAAACTTTGTCTTCTTCCTTACTTCGTAAGTAAATGACAGTTGCATAAGCAGCTTGACTGGCATCGCAAAAGACGTGTAGAGTCCATGAATCCTTAATTCCATGACCCATACGACAAGGTAATTTAAGACTGGAAAGACTAGGCAACCTTTCGTACCATCTCTCAAATCTTGTTTGAAGTTCATCTGGTAATGGTTTATCCCAGGTCGATTTTGTTGCCCAAGCCTCTTGAAGAATTAATTTCGCAGGTAATATGACGGGCACAAAGAAACCTAGCGGCTCAAAAACAGCATGGACTAGAGACAATAGTCTCCTTTTTGATAAGTCTCTTTTAACGATTTCTCTTTGGACGGATATTGTAAGGCTGTCATCTCGTCGGTCCCACTGCAAGCCTAGAACTGCGGAGACTGGATCACTATCTTCAGCTGCTAGCTCTTGATCACCATATTGATTAAAAGCCCACATTCGAAGATTCATTTTGGCTTCTGCCATAATAGTAATCGACTAGAATTGATTTATGCGGTCCCTTTTACATAAAATGTAAAATTCAACGAAGAGGTACCTTAAATAAGATATATGTTGTTATTTTTGTATGTTTAGTTACTCGAGCGACACAGATTTGTTACAGATCTAACATCGCAGGCTGTAATTGCAACATTAAAAAGATTTTTCGCTCGGCGCGGCCTTAGCTCAACTATATATTCGGATAACGCTACCAACTTTGTTGGAGCCAACGCCGATTTGAAAAGGCTGTTAATCCTCGTCAAAAGTTCCCCTAGTCTGTCGTCATATTTAGCTTCTGAATCAATCGTTTGGAAATTCAATCAACGCGTTCTCCCAACTTCGGTGGTATATATGAGGCCGGAGTGAAATCCTTAAACATGATCTAAAACGAACTACCGGAAATTCAAAATTGACTCTCGAAGAAATTTTGACTGTTATAAATCAAACTGAAAGGGTATTAAATAGTAGACCTTTATTACTTTTATCTTCAGATCCAAATGACTTCGAAACTTTGACCCCTGGTCATTTTTTAATCGAAAGACCTCTTAATGCTCTACCTGAACCTTGTAAAACAGAAATTCCGAACAACAGACTTTCATCCTGACAGAAAATTGTTAAAATTAACCAAATAATATGGAACAAATGGTTAAAGGTTATCCAAATAATCTTCAACAGAGAAGTAAATGGTTCTTTCAAAAGGACAATATAAAAATAGGTACTCTTGTATTAGTTAAAGAGGATAAACTACCTCTATGTACGTGGATAGTAGGCCGTATCTATGACACCATTCCTGGAAGCGATGTTAAAGTCTGTGTTGTTGTTATCAAAATGCCTCAAGGACTGATAAAACGTGGAATATCGAACTTATGTATTTTACCTATGAACGATTGATGTAGTGAATTTATATTAAAATTACTTGTATTAATATTGCGTATCTATTTTATTGTGAAATGTAGTAATTTGTTTGTTATCTGTTTAAAAGATATATTATTGCATTTAATTGTTTCTAACTGATATATGTATCAAACTTTGAATTTCTTAAATAATTTATATTAGCTTTGAAATTAGTATTTCAACGCCGGGAGGGATGTTGGCACCTGATCGTCCGCTGATCATCTGCTATGCGAAACCTTTCGCCTCTAACTTAGTTGCCTAGCAACGAATCTTGTAACGCGTATGCGTCAATATCGTTTGTTTGTGTCATTCTTTTTATTAGCCTGTTCGATGAGAAATTTGTTGCTTGGATGTTTTAATGGCTGTTAATTGAGCGGTTAATTTTCGAATAGAATAAAAGATGGATTTAAAATAAAATTAGTTTCGTTATTTCGTAGCTACAGTCCATAACAACGAGCAATGAACTTGAAACGACAAGGATTCACATCGTCCTAATACACTGAACTAAAAATGATCTAACCTGTTGCCTCCAAATTACAACCTTCACGGCGTAATATACCTTAGGCTAAGAGTAATATTCCCTTTGAGTCGAAAAAGAGAAATGATAGAGAAAAAGTGGACAAAGCATTAAAAAAAAAAAAAAAAAAAAAAAAAAAAAAAAAAGATAATTTAAAATGCTAGCGAAAGAGTAGTCGCCGGTAGTTGAGTATCTTAAGCTACTCAATTCTCAACCTGTAATTAAGAAGAAAATTCATAGGCGGCGGAACTGCCCGCCACATCGTTTCTTCACATGAATACCAGGGGTAATGAAGTTCAGCTTTAAAAGCGTGAGTTGGGTCTTAAAATTATGCGAATATGGGTCAGACACCAGATCAAATCTTCAGACTTCTTTCACGGAACTAACTGGCCAGTTACTTTCTTAAGACTACCAAAAACAAACCTGAAATTGATTAAGTACGAAGGGTGACGAGAATACCCTGACATTTTGCAGTTTTATTTATTCAAACCCTAAAGATATTTCGCAGTCACGAACGTTCAGACGTTTCGCTTCAGGTTATCCTTAGCTGCAAAAGTAAACCTAAAAAATCATATTATCGCGTGCTGGTTTTTGGCAACAAGGGAGGGGGGGCTAATCCGTCTAATGGTCATTATGAAATACTAATCCCACTTGACCAATATTTATGCACACGTATGCTTCTGTGAAAGCTCATGAAAATAATACAATTAGCTGTCGTCTGTTACTGTGTTATCCGTTATTTTCGAAATGAAAATAATTCATGAAATGAATTCTAATTGAAAATGTATTTTGACTGAATAATATTTCGATCTACTACGTAATAAAAGGCCTACACTCGCCGAATTGCAGAATTATGGTTTAATTTTTTAAACTGAAGTAAATTCTGAAATACACTATACGGTATTGCTATTAATACAATATGGTTTCATAAATAATTTTGTTTAAAAGGCGAAATTTCCTAATAGTATGTTGCGCAGTTTAATTTTTATCCATTTTTCATTTCTTATCTCGTCGACCAGAGTTTTAGATTAAAAGTTAATCATCTTTACAGCAGTGAAATACCAGAAAGTTGTTGTTTTATTAAATGAAAACACTACAATCTACGAATGAAAGTAGTAACTATGCAAACGCAATTACTAATTATCAAATGCGTTTTTGTAATCAACACCGTTTTCAAAGTATCGAATGCTTTCCACATAGTGCAAATTATTACGAGCATAGAATAGTCAAGGTACGTGCTTCAGAGCAACAAATAAAGATACGATAAAGAATTATACTTTTAGAATTTGATGGAGAAATGACTATGCAAAAACATTGTAAAATTAAGCGTTAACTTAGTAAAGTTAACTTAAAAAAGTAAGAACATAGAAAAGGTAAGAACATAGAAAAGGTAAGAACATTGAAGAGGTAAAAACATTGATAAGATAAGAACATATTACAAACCTTCTTCTATAGTTCTACAAAAATTTAACTGTAACTTTCAGAAACATCTTAATGCCGAGACATTAACTGAAATGGCTATTTTCTACTTATTTTACATTGAAGACATATGTTAAATGTAATTTACTAGTTATTTAATAATGAATTTATAGTTGTTTAATATTTAATAATGCCAATGCATTATTGACATGAAATAAAATAATACCCTCTCTTAAGTCGTGCATTCTATATCACCATATTTAGGTGTAAGAGAGACTATAACATCGCATATGAAACGATTCTACACTTTTAATGGTATTTTGCTGGAAAAATAAAGTTTGTCATATTAGATGACTTCACATATGCGAACTTCATATACTTAACGTGTTAAACACACAAGACAATTAAATGGGCCAAATACTATACGTAAGTTCAAAATAATTAAACAAAAGAAGTATGATTTTTGTCTTAAATATGAAAGATCCTGGATAACGAATAAATTATCATAGCATATAATTTAAATATTAAGTGGCAAATTAAGATATTAAGGCATTTTGATGGATATCATATAGTCTTATATTCCAAAAAATACATCATATATTTTTATATTCACTTATCTTTATTAAAATATAAAATTCAACAATCGGTAACAGTTAACACATTTATTTATTACAATAATTATTCCAGTTATCAGGTAAAACTACTGATAGGTACATCAAGGTAGAACTATTAATATTTTAAAAGAAAAAGTTAATCCTGAGCAATGTATTAGAAAATAAAATAAGTTTCAAATTAATCTTTTCTTAAACACACTTAAATTTGAAATATTTTTGTTTAATCTAAAATTTTGTAAACGCATGTACGTTAATAAAAGTTACACTTTTAGGTGATAGTCGCTATAATTCATTACCTCAGTACTCGTAGAAAAATTAATGTATTTATTTTCTAACTATAGTAAGCTATATAACTGAGCAATTGTAGAAAAATCTAATGTAATGATTTTGAACTGACTTCTTATTTCAATAAATATCATGAAATTCGAAATATTTTACAGAGAGCTGTTGACATTAATTGCTTTTTTTTTTCAAACTAATATTTCAATACATGAAAATGAAATGAATAACGAAATAGCACACTGGCATATTGAAACTTTTGAATACCACCTCGAGTTAAATATCAAGTGGATTTCAAAGAAGCATTTGGAAGTGCTTTATTGATTTATGTAAAAGAAGTGAATTCTTGACTGAAAGCAACAAAAAACTGAAGTATTGAAGAATCATCAGAACATCATTAGATCAGCAAATATCCGATAATGTGTTTCTTAGTACTTACAGGCGCTCTTTTCGTCTAAGAATATGACCATCTCCAGTGGTGTTCCAGGTTGAACATTTGAAGCTGTGTCCAAAAATCGACCATTCTGCCTGATCGCCAAGTTCAAGTACGGGGTAGGAGCGTGAGCCACAATATTTGTTATATTCAGGAGACTGCAAGGTAATACGAAATTATGTTAAAACAACATACACTTAATAACCATTTAAGTATTAATAAGTTCGAAAATTCAGCAAATTTACGACGAATAGAGCAACATCTATTTACAATGCTTTTTTAACTGATTGCGAAAATGTACGCCAGAGCTCATTTCCAACGAAAAATGATGCATTCAGAGAGGTCTACCTAAAAGAAACATTTGTACTCAAATTATTAATGGGAAAAACCATGAAATGACCACACCGGAATTCGAATCCTAATCATAGTACCAATATTCCGTAGACGTACCCATTCGACCGCTGGCTGACCTATTACGCTTCATTTAAAAAACTCGAATACTACACTCTGCTGTATCAAATACGGCTAAATAGCAGTAATATTCCATTTGTAAATGTTCTGTATATATGCATCTTGTATAAAAGTATCGAATTATCAGCATTAAAACCATATCTATCATTTTAGTCTATCATATCAGGATCATGTCTTATCATTTTGGTCTAACATGAGTCATTAATTAAATTATAAATCAAAAGCTTGATAATTTGGATGCAATATTCATAGGCTTCTATAATATTAAAAATTTCCTTTTATGTGCTTTTGCAGATATCTGATAAAGATCGGAACAGCTATGACATTGAATATTATGCTTTTTTATGATTACATCAATATGCTATATATGAAATGTAATGACTGATAATGAAAAATGTGTATGCCTCTACGACATTATGTTTTGTGAATAATACCTAAAATTTTAATGTTATGACACTTCTTTTGCTGGATTATTTAGCTACAACACATTCGGAGGGAAAGTAAAGTACCATAACGTTTCAAAACAATGGAAAATCACAGCAGGAAAAAGTATCTAATGAGCTCAATACATGGAAATGCTCAATGCCAACATAAAAAAAAATATTCTTAATTATTTCCTTGAGTGTCTGCGTTATTACAAAACCATAAATTAGCAAGCCCGAAAAATCGTTTTTCTTTTTTTCTTCTCATGCCAGTTAGGTTGCTTTTAGCTAATTGTTTTCATCATTTGCAAGCGAATCATATTTCAGATATAAGTACTTTTCTGGCAGGTACTACAGAAAAATTATATGAAATATGGTTATTCACTCGATTACATTTTGTGTGCGTCAGTGTTAAGTTTGTGCGATTGGGAAATCAGATTTTCAAAGCGAACAACAATGAACTCGAATATCAGACCCAATCCATTGTTTTAATTTCGCACTTTCTTCAACTGTTGGCACTTTCGAAAGCTTCCAACCCTACTGATGTTGTTGCAAGAGTACTTTCGGGACATTCTCTTTTACAGATGATTCTCATTTTAGGCTGTCGCGTTTCGTACAGTTCCGTAGTAGACGCCAGCAATGTTGCATTAAAATCTCATCTCTCAATTCTCAGAGCCATTCTGAACAGAAATAATTTGTTACTCAAATCATTTCCTAGAATGATCTGTGACTGATCATTTGCAGCACGGCCGATATTAAATAAAAAGTCCTACGAAATTAGGCAAAGCAACAACCTTCTATTTGGCATACATTTTGACGAAGTCTCTGTGGATTTCGAAAAGGTGTAGGCCTCATCACGAGGAGAAAATACTACATCTCTCTTGTGCGGTTTTTTCCTTTTTGTTGTTGCATTGTCTAATTTTATGTTTTACATTGGCGTGTTTCGTTTGTCTCTCGAAAAAAGCCTATATACCTATAACTTACTGCTGCATGTTAAGCGCCATCTTGGCTAATCATATGTAGTTAGCTCCCTTACATTATTAACATTTCAAATTTAAATTTCAAATTAATATATTTCAGATTTAATATACCAATCGCTGGTATGTTTTTGCAATATAGTGTAATACACAACGTTTACTTCAAACGTGTAGCCTTATTTTTGACTCAGACAAGTGGTAATGGAAATATTCTTTCTGTACTATTGGCGTTATAACGTACTGATAAATAATGCACAATATTTTTGTCTTTAAAAATAACTTTGTTATTTATATTTACTTCTTTATTGTGGTATCGTGTGAATTAAAAAAACTAAATTATGAGCTTTTGTTCGAAATTATAAAATAATAGAATTTAAGTGGTTTTCTAGGTGTGGCATGCTTAGAAAGACATTAGACAAATTCATTAGATTTAAGTTTTATCACCCCACTGATATTTATATTGTTATAAATTTTATTTAACATTTCTTCAAAAAATATGGCCTGGTGATTTAAGCGGCGAAATGGTGGTAGAATGCTTCGCTTTTATTCGCTCTTATTTCTGGCGACTAAAAAGGTTGCCTTCATAAAGATTTCGTTGTTTTCCTGACGTATCATATGAAGGCGGGCCAATTTCCCTTAGAAAATCCTTCATGAAGGCATTGCTTTTATGCAGCTTGCTCTGGTCCGCTTTGTCTAACATAAAAATTCCAATCCTTAGCCGGTAAAAAATCCTTTGGCAATGGAACAAAAAAATTGAAAACTTGGGAAGACAAGACTTAGAAAAGGTAATTTTTAACTAGTTAAGCAGTGACTTTTAATATCTGAATTTCTATTTGGTAGTAGGATCTAAACATATCCAAACCCTATGCCCAGTACATTTTTAAAAAGAATGCTAATAAAATTTCAGACAAACTGTCCCTTATCGTAAGTAATTAAATTCACTAATCTTGAAATAGTACGAAATAATGGCAGTATTAAAACAGTGTGTTTGAAGAACTTAGCTATGAGCTTTACGTCTTTTCTGCTTTAAATTATAAATGATGTTTCGTACAAAGACGATATAAAAATTTGAAAGAAGAAATCTTTAGAAGCTGTCTGACATTTTCACAAGAGCTAAACATATTCGGTGTTATAAGACTAATTGAAAAAAGATTTAGAAGTTTCTCTCTGGCACTTTTTACTATTTTCACTGGAAGCAAATATGGATTTCCTCAAACGTATTATCGGCAGTTGCGAAACTAGTCGATTTACTTAATTATTTAATTACGGCAAAGTACACTAGGGCTATCTGTCTAAAGGGAGGGATGCTTTCGTGGAGGACTTTCTAAGGGAAGCTGGCTCGTATACACGTTACACATGGGGAAAACCACGAAAACGCCCATGCAAGCAGCCCGTCCGCGGGATTTAAACCTTGGACCGAACTACCAGTTTTCAGCGACTTTAGCGTTCGCCCGCCGGTGGGCTCTGAAACTGGTCTAGCTCCATTAATACAGTTAATGAGTGTGTATACAAAATTATACCTTAGATTCAAAAATAGAATCTTGGTTTTATATTTCTGATTTGTTACTTATTTTCAGGAAAAGAAAGTACATTTAATTTTTTCACTTTTTTTGCATATAAATGTTTATTTTACTATATTTATTTAAATTTAATTAAGTAAAAAATTGAATTGGGGTATCATTTATTATACTAGTGTTCCAGAGATTACGGATTCAATCTGTAATAGTAATAATGTCCAAAAAATGTTTAGGTGCCACTTAGAAAAAAATAAATAAAAACTGGGAGAAAGAAAATACAAACTGCGTATTTGGGTTTTTCTATGCAACGTGGCCACCGCTAGGCTGGTTACGAGTTTCGCTAGTTTACGAGCCAATTTTCCTTAGAAAGTAATCCATGAAGGTGTATCTTCCTTTAGGCAGATAGCTTTCGAGTACATTGCCATAATCAAAATAAGCCGAACCAAAACCGAGCATATAAAAGGAAGCGGACTGGGTTGTGTACTGTTGTTAGAAAGGAACTACACTCTTTTGCAAAAAAAATCGAAGCACCATGAAGGATGTGGTTGTTTTTGATAAAACTGAATATGTGAATAGCTAGTACACAGATAATAAAATGATTAAAAAATCAAGGTCATAGTACGACTCTGTACTCTTTTTTTTTTTTTTTTTTTTTAATTTAGACTTAATAAATGTCTGCAGGGCGGACATCATACTGCAAGGGCTTGTTCCCGGTCAGTAGTCCTCCTTAGCAGTGTAAAAGTAAAAAAAGTACCTGTTCACGGCTCACAATCACCCATTGAGTGTTCAAATTAGTAGTTGGTCGAACCGCCCCTGGCGGCAATGCATGTTTGAATTCGTCGAGGCAAGGAGCGGTAGAGTTTCCTAATGTCATCCTGCGACACATTCTGCCAGTCATTCATCAGTTGTCAAACCAGATCTACGATATATTGTGGTGCCCAAAACTGCCGGCCTCTGTGTCCCAGACATGCTCGATTGGTGAAAGGTCTGGTGACCTTGCTGGCCAAGGAAGAGTATCAACCGCACGGCAACAGTCCAGAGATATGCGAGCGGTACGTGGCCTGGCATTATATTATTGCAAAATGGCCCCAGGATAACGTGCAGTGAAAAGTAATGTAACCGGCCGCAGGATGGTATCAACATATCATTGAGCTGTTAAAGATGTACAGAAGAGGACTAACGATGACTTGCTGTCATAAAAAATAGCGCCCCACACTATCACACCAGGGGTCATGGCTGTGTGCCTTTGTAAAACAAAGGCTGATTGGGACCGCTGGCCCTATCTTCTCCAGACACGAACGAGGTGGTCATTTGCTTCAAGATTGCCAATCTTATGGCAGCCATGATGATAGGCTGCGACACCGCGATACCACTTCAGACGACTCCGCCGATGTTGTGGGGTCAAAGGCAAACGTCTTAAAGTGAAATGGTGGACGGTACCACGGAAGGTATAGACGTTGCTGCAATGATACCGTTGGGGCAGTTCAGGCCTGGCGAACAATCATTCTGTCTTGTCTCGCATTTGTGCTCCTTGGACTTCCAGAGCCTTCATTTCGTCAGCAATTTCCTTGTAGCAAACATTGATGCCAACATCTTTGCACAGCAGTGTCTGTACGCTGCAGGTGGCTGCCTATTGCTCGGTATGACAAACCCAACTTCACGCAAACCTACAATGCGACCACGTTCGAAGTCGTTTAGTTGTTTGTAAGGTCTTGGATCTCGTCGTAATGGCATCTTTAGTTGATTCTTTACGGAATTACAATGGGAGCAA